AAACTAGAAATTAATTATATAAAGAAAACAGGAAAAATCACAAATGTGTAGAGATTAAACAACATGCTACTGAACAAATGAGTCATTGAGGGTATCAAAAAAATAAATAAAAATTATGTATAGACAAAAGAAAATGAAAACAAAACATTCCACAATGTATAAGATGCAACAAAATCAGTTCTTAGAGGGAAGTTCATAGTGATAAGTGCTCAGATCAAGAAACAAGAATAATCTCGAATAAACAACCTAATTTTACACTAAAAAAAAAGAACAAATGGAACCCATAAATTCATAGAAGGAAGGAAATAAAGATCAAATTAGAAACAGATTAAATAGAGATTTGAAAAGAAAAAAGAAAATGTCAATGAAACTAAGAGCTGGTTCCTTGAAAAGAATCTTAGCTGAACTCACCAAAAAGGACTTAAATAAATAAATGTAACCAGAAATGAAAGAGAAAACCTTATAACTATTACCACAGAAATACAAAAAAATTATAAGAGAATACCACGAACAATTATATGTGAACAAATTGGACAACTGAGAAAAAATGAATACATTTCTATAAGCATAAAACCTATTGAGATTTAATCATGAAGAAATAAAAAAAAATCAACAGACTGATTAGCAGTAAGAAGATTGAGTTAGTAATGAAAAACTTACCAAGAAACAAAAGTTCAGGACCAGGCAGCTTTACTGGTGAATTCTAGCAAATATTGACAGAAGAGTTAATGCCAATCTGTCTCAAACTTTTCTAAAAAATAGAAGAGAAAGTAACACTTCTAAGCTTATTGTCTGATGCCAGCATTTCTCTGATACCAAACCCAGATGAGGATGCCCCAAGAAGGTTAAATTACAGGACAATATGTCTGATGAAAATTGATGTAAAAATTCAATAAAATATTGGAAAACTAAATTCAACAATATATTAAAAGGAGCATGCACCATGATCAAGTGGGATTTATTCCAAGGATGCTTCTACATTCACAAATCAATCAATGTGATACACCACATTAACAAAATAAAGGATAAAAACCACATGATTATCTCAATAGATGCAGACAAAAACATTTAACAAAAATTAACATCCTTTCCTGATAAGAACTCTCAACAAAATGAGTATAGCAGCAATATACTTCAACATAACAAATGCCAAATATGAGAAGTCCATAGTTAGTATTAGACTCAGTGATGGAAGCTGAAAGTTTTCCCACCATGGTCAGTCACAGGGTAAGGATGCCCACTCTTACCATTTTTATTCAATGTAGTATTTTGAGCCCAAGGCAGATCAGGCAAATAAATAAATAGACTTCAAATTGGAAAGGAAGTGGTAAATTATTTGCAAATGACTTATTATATAGGGCCTGGCACAAATAACACCCCTTTTATTACAAAATCATAAGCATGTAATACTTTAACATAACAATATTGCACTCAAGCACACCTTATGACATTTTAGGTGAAATGTTCAAATTAAAATTGTAAATTATTATACTCATATTACTACCCTACAAACTACACTCAAACAGTACTTCTGCTAGACCCTGCATATAGACCCTGCATATAGAAAAACCTAAAGATTCCCAAGAAAAAAGCATTAGTACTAATCAACAGATTCAGTAAAGTTGAAGTATGCAAAATCATTATACAGAAATGTGTTGCATTTTCACACACTAATAATGTACACAGGAAAGATAAGTTAAGAAAATAATTTATAATTGCATCAAAAAGAATAAAATATATAGAAATAAACTTAACCAAGAGGTGAAAGAACTGTACATGGACAACTATAAGACATTGATGAAAGAAATTGAATAGGACTCAAATAAATGGAAAAATAAAATATTTCATAGTATTGGATTAGAAGAATTAATGTTGTTAATATGTCTATACTACCCAAAGCAATCTACAGATTCCTTGTTATCCCTGTCAAATTTCTGGTGACATTTTTTCACACATGTAGAAGAACAAAGCTGGAGGCCTCATATATCCTGATTTCAAACTATATTACAAATTATACTAATCAAATCAGTATGGCATAAAAAGTGACAGATCATTGGATAAGAATAGAGCCCAGAAATTAACCCATGCATATATGGTCAATTGATTTACAACAAAAAAAGGCAAGAACATACAATGGAGAAAAGACAGTCTGCTCAATAAATAGTTTGGGAAATGTAGATCACTCTCCTATACCATACACAACAATTAAGTCAAAATAGATTAAAGACATGAATGTAAGACCATAAGACTTGAATGTGATCTAATTATTTAGAACTTAGATTAAATAATTGAATTTTGGGTAATTAACAGAATAAAAATGTTATAATGTTTGGCACTCTTAATACTAAAATCAGAAAAAGTTAAGATGGGGGAGAGAAGAAAAGAATGACTATAGGAGAACCCATTTGTCATCATTTATAATTAAGAATCTTAAGTATTCTTTTATAGTTAAATTACTGGGTTTGCCAAAATGTCCATATGTTTTTTCTGTAAAATCAAAGACACCTTTTTTCTCTTTCACCAATAACTTTATTGATTTGAATATTTTGAGTATGTCAGCTATTTCCCACATGGATTAACACAAATAGTTCTCAATTAATGTGTCAATTAAATGGCTACCAATTTCAACCAGTCTATTCCACCATGGAGCATTGTCCAGCAAGAAATTTCCAGTGCTTAAATTCACAAACCACTTTTGACATGTTCCATTACTCACAGCACCTTCTCTATACACTGCACAAATCTTTCCTTGCATTTCAGTTGTGTTTTTACCTTTCTTGAAGTAATAAAGCATAACATGGTGAAAATGTTGCACATTTTCTTCTATCTTCAATATTAAAATTGTTACATAAAAAATCACCAGTTTTGATCATTTTTAAACACACATTGATACGACAGCTGTCACAATACAATTTAACAAAATTGTTTCAAGTAAAGTTAAAGACAACTAAGTGCTACTAGAGCCTTCTTATGGGGAAAAAAATGAACTTTTTGGCAAACCCAATATGTCATTATAAAAATGAAAACTCTAGATTCAAAATTTAAAAAAAAATGTTTTCTTAATTTAAGGGAAATCTTCTAGTAGTTAATATTGTTGGTGAAGAGGCACATTTCTGAAATTTAGCATTTATTTTAAAAAGCATGTATGGTTTAATCCTGTGTCTCTCCATCTACATAGAGAAATGAATAAAATTATATTTTAAAATGTTAATTACTATTAACATTTTGGGATATTGGATGATTTTTACATCTTTCTAATTTTATGTTTTGTATATTACATGAATATCTTGGATTGAATATGCATCACTGGTAAAAAAAAAAACAAAAAGTGATCTTCAGTAAGTGATTTTTGTCTTTTGAAGATAAATAAGTACACAAAAGCCACAATTGACATGTATGAGGAAAACCTTAAGTTGACAATCAAAAATCTAAGATGTGGTTCTTTCTCATATTTAAAGTAAAAATTAAAACTGGCAAGTTAACTTGAAGTAAAGGGAATATTTGATCATAACATCACAAAAAGAAGAAATCCTTAAATTCTAAGAGAATATTAAATAAAATTTCATGTTTATATATTTTTAAAAGTGATAGAATTGGCAGGTTAAATTACACAACAATGATGTATTACAGTAAATAGAAAGTACCTGTCACAGAAAATTGAGACAGAAACTCTAGGCAGATAATCATTGCAGTTTGCTGCACAAGCAAATCTACTCATGCCCTATTTTAAGCAAATCATTGTGGCTGGTCTACAGAAGGAAATATTTTGCACTGCTATTAATAAGCATGACTGACAAAAAATAATAGTCCATGATGTTTTCCCAAAGACATATGAGCTTTATATTAGGAGAACAATTAATTTCCAAAGGAATAATTTTTCAAGGTATATCATTATTTTCCTGTCTGAACAGACTTTAGTCATCTCTGTATTCCCTGGTCCTGGCACAAAGCCACATTCCAAGGATGGATAGGTTAAAAAAAAAAAAAAAGCAATAGATGTGACTTGTGAGCACTTGGGTATTACATAACAAATCCTCCTAACAAAGAGGATTCTTTGTGTTAGGTTATCTACTGAGCTCTGAAGAGCAGGGAGAAAGGGATGGGAGGAGCATACTTCCACAGAAGCTTTCATTCAACAGATATTTACTGATCACTTACTGTGTGCTAGGCATTCTGCTAGATTTCAGAAATGCCAGTGGAGAACAAAATTTAGTCTGTAAGGGAAGACAGGTAATCACATAAAGGAAGCAGTAATCACAAAGCATAATAAAGTGGCATAAAAGGTGCTGTAAGAGAAAAAGGAGAAAAGAAAAAAAGAGCATGACGGGGGACTCTAATTTAGATAAAATTTGATCATTAGATTATTATGTTATGTTGGTTGAGTCAGGTTATGTGATAGGTTGTATTAGGTTAGTGAGAGTAGGCATTTTTGAGGAAGCAACATAACACTTAATCTAAAACCTGATAAGTTAAGTTAGACATTAGCCAGATAAATTTGGCAAGAAACTCAGGGCAAAGTAAACAGCACCCCAAGTGAGAGAATGGCCTGGTACTTCAGAGAAACAGATGGCTGGCATGTCTAAATGACCCTGAGCGAGGGGGGTGATGCTGTAAAGTGGAGTCCTATCACTGATGTGCTATAGCCCACCCTAAAATTTTGGATTTCATCCAAAATATACTCAGTGAGACGACAAGAATGAGAAACGGCCAGACAGTGCAAGAGACACCTTGCATGACTAAGAACGGCAAAAGGGGTAAGTCACCTGCACTAAAAAGAAATGAGAGGGAAGCAGAGAAACCTGACCCATTTATGGTATTTGCTAAGTGGTTTATTTAGAGAGGTTTCCACACTGTTTTGCTATTGTTTTATTCTATTATTTTCCCAATATAAGCCCTGAAATAAGAATTGATGTCATTTATGGAGGTATAACAATTAAAACTTAGAAAAGAAATTTAGAAAAGAAAAGTACTATCTCTTTTCATGTCTCTCATTCTTGCAGCCCACCTTTCTCAGGCCCAGATCCTATGAAAACCTATAACATCATATTGAGAGGGATTGACATGATAGAATTTCCAAAGAAGATTGCCAAAAATGCTGCTAATTTAATTAAAAAACTGTGCAGGTAAGCATTTCAACCACATTATTTTTGAAAAGTATATAATATTAAAAATTAGATTTTTAATTAATTATTATTTCATTTTTAGGGACAATCCATCAGAAAGATTAGGGAATTTGAAAAATGGAGTGAAAGACATTCAAAAGCACAAGTAAGTATCCTTTCCTTATAATTTTAAGTTTGAGAGTTCAGAAGACCTGAAAGCATTTCTCTAGACTGATGTTTTTTAAAGTTATTGGTTATAGAACTGATACAAATAGCCACAAGAAATGTATATCTTAATTCTGGTATTCTGTTCCTTACCAGACTATTAAAAACAGAAGTCCTCCATCATATTGTGCCTCATTTCCTGGACTAGAACTAAAATATACAGGGTCCAGCACAAATAATGCTCCATTTTTATTACAAAACCTTTTATTACAAAATCATAAGCATGTAATTCTGTAACATAACAATATCACACTCAAGTACACCATATGACATTTTAGGTAAAATATTCAAATTAAAACTATAAATGATTACATCCATATTATTACCCTACCAACCACACTCAAGCAGGTGTTACTTCTGCCGGACCCTATATTTCTCTGATCATCTAATTAGGTAGAATTACAAAGAAAAAATTATATAGACTCTAAAAAAAAAAAGGGTCTTAAATATCAAACCTTATGCATGTAGATGGGTGTTCTGGAGCTAACCTCAGACCAAACTGGTTTTTCTCTGTTCATCTGTTTCTGTGACGCTCACAGGAAATTCACATCCATACTGGAGGAACTTACCAAAATGAGTATGAATATCTAAAAGGACTACTAAGATTTTGACATAAGCATTTGCTAATGGTGAACTCTTTCAAAGACAAAGACACAACAAAAAACAAACAAACAAACAAACAGAAAAACCCCATCATGTTATTTGGTCAACATTTTCACAGAAAAGCTGTACACAAAATACATTCAGTGCATTAAAAAAGAAAAAAGGGAGGAAAATGAGACATGTAAAAATCAATACAGTGATGTGAAAGGTTAATTAACTAAGCCTTCCTACTGAATCAGTGGCAAAGACAGGAAGATAATTTTCTGTCCTGACTTTTCATGCCTGATCCTACCTCCTTTAAAATGAAACATTCTGTAAGACACAGGGCCAAGTATGCTATGACATTTTTTAAGTTATAATGACAGTACAGGAACAAGGTCATGCAGATATGACAAATCACTAGAATAAAAAGGAGTTGCTTTCTCATTGGTATTTAAAGATTTGACAATTCAATATTTTAAATGATACATTCCACAGAATAATCTAATTTTTAAAAATCTGTTATTAAATAGAAAATATTTTTCTCACATTGAAGATATGTGCCTGTTTCCCGTTAGACATGGACATCATACATACGTCACTGAGAAGGTGTTAGCTGAGGTGAAATGTGTTTAACTCTACTTGTTTTTTCTTTCTTAGATGGTTTGAGGGCTTTAACTGGGAAGGCTTAAGAAAAGGCACCTTGACACCTCCTATAATACCAAGTGTAAGTAGACTTTCAGCTTGTCTATTTCTGACATACACAAAAGTGTTTATGTCAGTTATTTTCAAAGTTTATTCTAAGATCAGATAAAATAAATAATAGAAGTTACCACATTAGAATAATTACATCTAAAATCCAAGCTTAAAAACAGATAAGCCAGGGGATGGTTATATATGTACAGCATATGTATTTTACTGTTGCCTTTTTTAACTATCCATTCTAATTTGTTCCTTTTATTTGTGAATAAAAGTTGACTTTTGGTACGGTGTTAAAAGAGCATAATGAATCTCCATCAATGAGGTTTCTTTTTCATAATATATAAACTTTATACATCATTGCCTAAGAGTAAGAATACACTAACAATTTTAATTAATCATTCATGAATAATTATCAGAAAAATGTATGTTTTAAATTTCTCCACACATGTGTTCTCTCTATATGACACCGTATGCATGTGAGTGCACCTGGGCAGTTAGAAAGTGTGTGTCATTTTGTGTTTATGATCCCAATTTACTCTGTATCTTACTGTCCCCAAGAGCCAAACCATAAGAGCCACATCAAAGCCTTCTTCTGGTTTCTGTTTGGGTTTGGCCAGCAGACCAGCAATCTTTTGCAACAGCCATGGATTCCTGGCAAATATTGTTTCATGCATGCCCCTACATAGTTCCCCCTACTGTTACTGTATTATTCTCCCCATCTTCAAACCATACAACAAAGCCACAATGTTCAAAATAATGTTATTGGCAGAAAAATAGACATGTAGAAAAATGGAAAAGAACTGAGAGCTCAGAAATAAATCCACACATATATGGGCAATTGATTTTCAATAAAATGTCCAAAACATATACAATGGAGAAAGGAAAGCCTCCTCAATGAATGGCGGTGGGGAAATTAGAAAGCCACATGCAAAAAAATCAAACTAAGGCTTTCTGACACCATACACAAAAATTAACTCAAAATGGATTAAAGACAAATATAAGACCTAAAACAACAAAATACATAAAAGAAAATACAGGTACTAAACTATGGACACCAGTCTTGAAGGGGTTTTTGTGAGCTTGACCCCAAAAGCAAGCAAAGTAAAGGCAAAAAGTAAATGAATGCAACTTAATCAAACTAAGAACCTCTGCACAGCAAAAGAACCCATCAACAAAGTGAAAGGACAACCTACCAAATGGGAGAAGATATTTGCAAATGACACCTCCGATAAGAGCCTAATTTCCAAAACATAGGAACTCATACCACTCAACAACAATAACAAAAAAACACACACTCCAACCAATTAAAAAATAGACAGAGGACCTGAACAGACATTTTTCCCAAGAAGACATACAGATGGAGAACAGGTCTATCAAAAGATGCTCAACTTCACTAGCTGTAAGGGAAATGCAAATCAAAACCACAATAAGATACCACCTCACACCTGTTAAAATGGCTATTATGGCTATTATCAACAAGACAAGAAATCACAAGTGTTGGACAGGATGGAGAGAAAAGGGATCCCCAATACAGCACTGGTGAAAATGTAAAGTAGTATAGCCTCCATAGAAAACAGTATGGAGGTTCCCCCCAAAACTAAGAATAGAGCAACTGTATGACCCAGCAATACCACTTCTGTGTGTCTAGCCCCCACATTTTGAAAACACTTATTCATAGAGGCACATATACTCCTATTTATTGCAGCATTATTCACAATAGCCAAGACATGAAACAACTTACATGTCCTTCAACAACAGATGATTAGATAAAAATAATGTTTACATATATACAATGGAATAGTACTTGGCCCTTAAAAAAAGATGAAATACTGCCCCCATATTACTGTGAGGCAATCCTGGGCACAACTGTGTTCTTTCATTCTTTCATTAGGCTCTAAAACAAACCAAAAGAAACCCCTCTCTTTTCTTAACACATCCGAAATTTTGCTAAATAGCTAGTCCACTAAGGAGTGTAAGCGTTTACACTATATTAACTTGAAATCTGTTTTAACTGATTGCATTTTTATTTTTATTTAATACTGTGTATGTCTAATAAAATGTGCTGCATCTTATCTAAGGGAAGAGACCTGCTGTGTGGTCCTGAGCCTTTCATTTATATGTGTCTTTCTGGGACTAATTCAAGACTGTTTCGTATGCAGAAACATTTCCCTACTTCTAAGATTTATTTCTGTGCTAAAGTTTATGTTTAGCCACAAACACAAACAAAACAGAAAAGCCATTACCATAACAGATGCTAATTGCATTCATGAAGTTTTGTTTTTAGAAGCATTGAATGAGAAACTTGGAGGAATAAATATTAAGCCTCAATGATCCTAATCTGAATATATTATTGGGGGTCTCCTTTTATGCAACAGGAACAGTAAAAGGGGAGCTATATATCTATAAATGATTTTAAGTGTTAGAATAGGAGGGAAACTAAAGTATATTTCCTCACTGCTTTAACCAATGTTCTATAGATTGACTTTGTCTAGTAAATTTTTGCTTGAGTTTAGAAATAGCTTATTATTATAGTTGGAATAAATACACAAAATCCTCAAGAGGGCCTACAAGTTTCTCCATAGGCTGACTCCTGCCTGTTTCTCCTATTTCTCATTCTACTCCCCTTCTCTCTTACGCAGCAGCAGTGTTGGCCTCTTTTGCTTGTTTCCCAGCATGGAGCTCTCTCTCTCACCTCAGGACCTTTGCATGTGCTCTTTAGTGAACTCATTGATTTTTAGGCTTAAAATAATACATTTTCAAAGAGGCTTTCCATGATGACACTTATTTTGTCATGGCACCTTTTTTTTTAAATAGCACAAACCAAAATGTAAAACAAATAATCACAAAAACCTATATATAATTATAATCACACAATTCATTCCTCACTAGAGTATAAACTCCATGAGGGCAAGAACCATATTTATTTTTAGTCACACTGTTACCCCCATTACAACGAAGCACAGAACGTGCTACCTAGAAGACACTAAAAAAAACAGTCATTTCATTAAGGAATGAATAAAGAATGATATTTTAAAATCTATCATGGGATTTTACTAAAGAATCAGGCACCTTTTTACTATCCATTCTCTCATTTCTAGGTTGCATCACCCACAGACACAAGCAATTTTGACAGTTTCCCTGAGGACAATGACGAACCACCACCTGATGACAACTCAGGATGGGACATAGACTTCTAATGTATTTCTCTTACCTGCTTCTGCCTTGCTGAAGACAGCTTTTTCTGAGACACAGCTGCCAGCAAACCTGAGGGAAAGAGAGAAGATTAGTGCTCGGGGTCACCATGATGCCTTTGATCGATGCTGCTCCAGTAACTCCAGTGGCATTAGGACTTATCGCTTAGATGACAATAGTGCTCTTTTTACATGTTTTCTGTTTGAACCTAAAAATAGCAGTTGACATGGTGGTCCTGAAGCAAAGCCTTTCACCAGTAAAGAGATGTTTTCTATTGTTGCAATGATCTAGCTTCGCTCTGATTATAATTTGAAAGACAGTAAGAAACACTCAATCTCATAAGAGAGTCTGTACCTTGCTAGAATGATCCACAAGATCCAAAAGTAATATATTGGGTACGATAGATTTCTATGGTACAAAAACTGGGCTCTTCCCTTTCTTCATGTGAGGGTTGGAGGATCTGTTACCGCGGGCCGGTGTACATACCACACAAAAGAGGACCACGCATCTGTCAGTCACAGAGTTCGTGTCAAACCAGTGCTAGAAGTCCCATGATTTCATTTCCCAGCTGTGCTGATGACAAGACTGAATGTTACCTTTCCTTTCTGACAGATTTAAAAAAAATGGTACATTAAAAGCACAACTGCTATGGGTTCTGCTGAGAAACCCCATAGCAGGTATATATGCGTTTTCACAGAGGATTGAAAACAACCAACATGCATGATATTTGTGTTTTTTTTTTTTGATAAATTGGCATGACAGAGTGGAAAAAAGCAATTCACAACCATTTCATATTTTTGAAAATATTATGCTTAAAGATGGTCCTGGAAATAAGTGACTAGCAGCAATTGGTTTTTATTTATTACCTAACACACCCTCAAACTGAGGCTTAAAATTTTCCCTTTTATAGAAATAAACCCTTGGGGTCAGGGTGGGGTGGGATGGAGAGGGATCAAGATTCATCCAAAAAATAAAAATAAAAAACTATATAGGTGCTATGTATATCTTTCATCTGTAAATGTCAGTGTTTGAACAGACAACACAAATTCTAATCATTACATGTGTAGCCAGAGACTCAAGCATTTTCACTAAATTTATCAAACCAAACTCTTGTCAGATTTCACTTATACAACATAGTCTAGGGCTGATAGAGGAAGGTTATTAAAAACATGTTTCAACTAGCTTCTTGTCTTAGGCCTGAACCCTCCCTTCCCCCCCCCCCAAAAAAAAAGAAGAAAGAAAAAAGGAAAGAATAGAAAGAAAAAGAAGGAAAGAAAGAAAGCAAAAGAGGGAGGGAGGGAGGGAAGGAAGGAAGGAAGGAAGGAAGGAAGGAAGGAAGGAAGGAAGGAAGGAAAAAAGAAAGGAAGAAAGGAAGAAAGAAATCATTGAGATTCACTGATTCACTAGATGAGAAAACTTACTTAATGTCAAGGAACCAGACAAAAATTTGGCCAGGTATTGATTACATTGTGATGAATTAGCTGATACGAGTCCATGTGCTTGTGAAAGTAGGAAGGCAATAGAGAAGAAAACAGCGAATTGATTTCCTAAAAATAAGGTTAACTACTAAATCAAACAAAAATATTATAATTCTGAAATATCATACTACCTAGAAAAGACTGGATTTGAAAATATCGAACTGATTTATCTTTCTCACATGGGGAAAAGTCAGCAACTTAAACCGAGTCCTTTGCCAGCAGGCCAGTTGACTATTATTAGCTGCCATAAGTAGCAGAACCATTGGGAAGCTTTTTTGGACAAATAGCATTACATCTACTTAGACAAATGCATAACATTACAAGCTGTCATCTTGATTTGGAACTGTGTATGTAATTTGGTATATTAAATAGGGGTTTGCATATGTCCAGTAGAGAGTGTTTTTAAAAGTCAAACAAATATAGACATTTCTGCAAAAAAAAAAAAAATCCACCTGGATCATTTACTGTATCCAAGAAGTTATATGATATTATTTTTGTTTGAATTTTTCATTACTAGAATATATCTTATTAAAATATAATAATCTAAGACATTTGGAGAATAAAAGTATTATGGACATATTATATATAATTAGAATAAAATTAAAAGTTTCATTCTAAGATATTATTACTTTTGTGTTACAGAGTTTTTTCCTCCCTATAAACAATTTCTCAAAAATCAATCTATTCCCTAACATTTTGGAATATAAAATTAAACATATCAACCTAAAATCCAGCTATACACACTACTTCAGAAGTTGTATATTGCTTTTAATTGGCTTTTAAAATACATAATTTCAATATTATAGTTAATGTTCAGTGATTTTTGTTAGCAGAGAGAGTGGGTTAGGCATGCTAAAGGTTTTCTAGAATATTAAACTTACCTAGATATTAAGAATCTGCTCCTGCAACTTTTTAAAAATCCCAACAGCCCCAGAGATTAGCACTTACTATGGCTTTTGGAACTGTGGTTCAAGTCTAAGATGACCAACATGTACAAGTTCTATGGAGAAGGAAGAAGCAGTGCTCAGCACGATGTACCTGTAGGTCATTTCTCCCACGTGTTATTGCATCTTTGTTAATTTTACGAGTGGAATTACATTTGGATGTCTAAAGCAATCACCAAACAATGAAAGTACATCATCCAAGAATTACTAACAGAAAACATGCATTTAATTTTCCATATTGAATCTTAAGGAATTAAATTGTGTCTTAATGAAGACATTAGGGCTAAAATTTGTGGTCAGCTTCATAAAGTCTGCCTCACTTCTGAATTTTTCATGGCCCCTCTATTTTTCCTACACTAAGGACGTCTGGATAAGTGTCACTATTCTTAGTCACAACCTATTTGACTTGTTAACCTTCTTGTTAATACTTTACGTATGGGAAATAAGGGCTTTCTGTGTCTTGACTCACAGGAAAACGGAAAACTGCCAAGGAAAGGAACATCGTAATAGTGTATATGAGATGGATTGAATACATTAGAAAAAATGATTTCTAGAAAATTGCTATAAATAATTTTTTGGTTTGTACCTTCTTTGTTATTAATATATGAATCAGATCCATGTGGCATTTAAATCATTTATTTTGAGTATATTCTTTACAAGTCATAATTTTTACTTAAAATGCATGTGAACTACACATGTATAATATATAAATTCAACCCTTGAATTTTCTTGTTTCATTTCTAAATGAGTACACTGATGGGAAACTTAAATTGAAAGAAGTTAGCAACCATATTGAAATTAAGGACATTAGAACTGATTTCTTATAGTAGTGGCGATCTGTGCATTATCCATAACAATCTTTCTTTCACAATAGGACCACAGACAAATATTTATGTAAATAGATATTTTTTGTGTGATATTTTGTGGTACATATAACTTTTTTTAGTGTTTCACAGCATTATAATTTCATTTTATTTGTACTGAATAATGTTTTTAGGTCTAAGTAGACTTGAATTAATGTCATAATTGTCAGTATTATTGAAAATTACATCAACTGTACTGTTACTCATCTGTCCCATAGTTTAGAAGATGACCTGGCTATCTGGCATTGTTGCAAGTGCCTTAAATTCATGGCATCCTATTAAAAAAAAAACAAATTTGGTGTTATGCTGCATGACAAAGACAAACACACCTCAAAATGTTGTCCTTTCTTAGCTTGCTGCGTTTTACAGTTCTTTCTGCTAACAATTTATAAGCCTTTATTATATAATATTGATGAATTACAGAAATGATGAAGTTGTTCTCTTATTTCTGTTAAATGTACCAGAGCTGTGTATCTGTTAATGAGATACAGCGTCATTTCTGTGAAATGTATAAATGTATGTGCAGGTCAAATTAATATATGACATACTATCACAGTCTGTATACAGGTATTCCTGTTTTGCTAAGCTGTGCAGATTCAGTTTAAAAAATTAGTATTGTCAAGTTCTAATATTTTTCTTTTTATAGACTCTAATAACAATGGTCCAACTCAAAAGAAAAATTAAGAAATGACTGCTCACCAAACCTTGTTATGAAACCGATGAGTATCTTGGTGCACCACTCAACAAAACAGGATGCTTTCTCTGAGTTCTTGTATATGCAAATCATTTCTGAGGCAAGTTTTCAACAGACCTAGAAAGCTAAATATTGAAAGTGTGTTGCTAGCCCTGCTCTCTTTCTGCCCCTGCATCAAAAACAGACAGAGCTCTGAGATCTTGACAATGACTCAAAGGTTTGGGCTTTTGAAGAAAAGGGCCATTTCTTTGAGCATCATTTATCAAGTTTATTTCATTGTATGATGTTTTTACAACTGGTCAGTTCTTTTGTACTCTTACAGCTATGGTTATTTGATTGTCCTCTTACAATTTGTTCTACATGAAAGAGTTCTTTGTTAGTCAGAATGCAACAACTGTCATCAAATGGTCATTGACCACTTGCACTCTTTTGATGTAGATTAAAAACTTTTTCATAAACTTAATCTGCTTTGATTTGCTCTGTATTTTTCCTGCAGCTGTAATTGCTGAGTGCCTGTTGTATACTTTATAGAATTGAAATAAAAAAAAATAATTACTTTTGAACCTAGCTGATGTTTAATTCCAGACAAGATTCCAAGCATAGCATTGTTATAGCATTACTAGAATTGAAACACTGTGCAGGGCTATTGAAGACTCTCATCACAACAGTGTAGAAAATACTTATAACCATGTGTCCTCCATCAAATAATGCATTATGAGCAAATATAAAATTAATCTGACAAATTGGTTTAAAGAATTCAATAGGGATAGTGTTAGGTCATCTGGTGTGAATAGCAAAGCAAATGTAGAGACCAACACAAACCTGAAAACTAGCAGTTTTCTGTGCACCAGCACCATATACCTTTTTGGGGCTACCACATGTCACACTCTGAACTAGGTATGCCAATGAAGGGATAATTCTGATATAATATCACCTGCTAGCAGGGAATTATTTCTTATGAAAAGCAACTTCATGAATCTTTGCCTTAAGGTTTATTCACCTGATCTCTCTGGAAAGCTTCTTATGCATAAAGAATGTAGATTTAGAGAACAATGCAATCACAACAAACAATGCTCCAAAGTCCTGGTGAACATATTCTTCTTACATCCCTTTGTTCCTCACTTCAGGGAATGTACACAAATTAAAAACTGACTGCAACATAAACATTCCCTTACTCTGACTGCCTTTGTCTTACTGACATCATATTGCCAGTGATGGTGAGTTGAAACCCCTTTGTAATGAAAACTAGAAATTCAATCCAGTTAAAGCTCTCAGAGCCAATAAAACAACTTTTAAAAGTATTATGTTACTAGGGCACAACCAATAATTTAATTTCTCCTGCAAATAGAAGTGAACTAAGTTTTTAGTGTGCATTTTTTGAGTTCTGTTATTTTCATACCCTGATCTAAGAATGGTCCTTTTTGATCCTGAAAGGTTATTTTTGAATTGATCACACTGTCGTTTGGGCTGGGTAGGGGCACACAGATCAATACTCAGTCATCAGAGGAGTGGCTGGGAAGGATGGGGGCGAGGGTAGGGGAAGTTGGCAACAGTGAGAATATTATGTCCATGACACTGTTGCGTCTTGTACATGGTAACTCCAAATGAAGTAAATCACTGCACAATTACCCTACTATGGCAATAAGAATCAATTATGAATGCATCTAAGATGAATGTATTGATAATGTTATGCTTGCAGACCTATGCTCAGCTTCTCAGTTATGGCTGAAAATGTGTGCTATGCATAATGTGAGAGTACAGGACAACCACCATACTAATATTCTGAGAGTATTGTTTAGA